CATCAAAATGTAAACCTTCCTTATTGATAACTCCCGTGTGCGCAGTTTAGACAAGAAGATGTCGGGCACTGCTGTGATTGAGGTCGGGCTGCAGCAGTTTTTCTCAAATGTGCAGATCCACTATTTCTTATACGAAGAGATGTCAGTTAGCGAACAAGACATTTCTTTGGGTTTGAAGTCTCGAAGCGGGCCTCTGCTTCCTATTTCGCTTTAACTCTAACCCTAACCTCCCACGGATCAACGGTCTTATTCCGGTAGATAGACCTTATGTCACTGGTAATTCCTCCGTGATAACTGCACCACCCTTTAGCTCCACATCTAACCATCCTCATTCTTTTTCCTCTAGTTATGCCTTCCCCCGGAATAATCTATCCATCAAAATTAGACTATCGTCTACCTCAGCAACTTTTAAAGCAAAAATACGTAAGCATTTAACTTCGGAAGATATAACGTCCTTGTTATCCACTTCCTTCCCAAACACACATCTTTTTGACTTTGAAAAGGGTCCTCCTGATATTTGAGGCGGTTCCACTTATATTAAATCATTTTCCATTTATGTCTTTTTTATCCTCTATAAAGTAATCTTTGCAGCGATGTTTCTTCCTCATTATTGCATTTGAGAAAAAGACAACTCGATCGCTGGGACAATACTTTTATTCGTCTGACGTTTCTACATACGTCGTGGATTCATTATCAGAGACATGAGCCTTTCTCCGTTCTCCATTTACAACCCTGGCGATGGCCTTCACGGTCGATAGTGATGCTCGTGGTGGTTCTGATGTTTTCGGTAGCTTGTCGCTGGACTCTGCAGTCCACATGATCGCATCTCCGGCCTTTCGTTGATGATCTCCTGACCTCTACCGTTCCCCCACCCTTTCGACTCTGTTGTCCGTGATGAACTCTTCCTGTCTCATCTCCCTTATGGCTGATACTTGAGCCAGTCGGTCAGTGTTATGGGGGTTAACAGTAGCCTCTGCTGCTATATTAGTTCTCCAACGACGAGAAGTCTTTCAACCCCTCATACGTTCTCATCAACAGCTATGTCTCAGTGTGTCGCAATAATCCCATTAACCAGCCTCTTAATTTTTACAGAGGCCGTTTATTTCTCCTACGTTTTGTTATTTTAAAGTGGGGATCCACTGAAATCTGCCCCCGCTTTCATGGTAGGAGTTTCTTTACTGCTTCCTCCTTAGTTCATCATATTTTTCAGACTGTTGATTATTATTTTAAATTACAATATGTTGGCGGATATGAAACTATCTGCCTACCATATAAGGATTATAACGTACTTGAGAGGGTGCAGCGGTGGGCAACAAAATAAGTAAGAGGCAAAGGTTCACTACCATATGAGATCCGCCTAAATAACCTTCATCACTATCCTTTGATTTATAGGTAGTTAAACGGAGATTTGATACAAACCTTCCGTATCGTGCGTGGCTTGGACTGCGCTCT